ACCCAAGAGTACTCAAGGAGCTGGCAGGTGTCATAGCCCAACCATTGGCAAAAATATTCAAAAACTCATGGTGCTCAGGTGAATTGCCTGAAGACTGGAAGAAGGCCAGTGAGGTACCCATCTTCAAGAAAGGACGGAAAATATAGCCCAGGAATTACAAGCCAATCAGCTTGACCTCAGTCCCCAGTAAGATTCTGGAGAAAATTATCAGAGACCCTTCTTGATGAGAGTAGTAGTTGATGGAAGCAAATCACTATGGTGCTCCATGACCAGTGGTGTCCTGCAAGGCTCTGTCCTTGGACCAGTTCTTTTTAACGTCTTGATCAATGATGTGGACATTGGTGTCAGAAGCACACTGGCCAAGTTCGCCAGTGACACTAAACTTTGGGGGATAGTGGCCACACCTGAGGGTAGGGTAGCGATCCAGGCTGACTTGGATAAGCTTAGTAAGTGGGCAGATATAAACCTAATGATGTTCAGTACTGAAAAATGTAAGGTACTCCACCTTGGGGCAAAAGACCCACAGCGTGCTTATAGGCTCAGCAGTTCTACGCTCGCTAGCACCACGGCTGAAAGAGACTTAGGGGTCATGATTGACCACAAGATGAACATGAGCCACCAATGTGATGTTGCAGCTGGTAAAGCAAATAAAACTCTGACTTGCATCCATAGATGCTTCTCAAGTAAATCTCAGGATGTCATCTTCCCGCTCAACGTTCTCTCTAAGGTGCGTGCATGTGCAGCCACACACAACTGAAAGTGTGGCCATGCACAGCCTTTTCTAGGCCGCGCACCAGGAGAGGCTTGGGCAGGAGCCTGGTGCAGACTCTGCCGGCTCTGGGAAAGTGCTCCACTCCCCCACATCAGGGCCGGGGAGTGGAGCACTTCCCTGGAGCCGGCGGAGCCCATGCCAGCCCCCTGCCCAAGCCTGCATCCCTGCCTTGCCTCACCTCGGGGAGGAGCTGCTGCCTGCCCCAGTGAGGCTCCGCCCGCTCTGGGACACTGCTCCACTCCCCAGCATTGCCTCCGGGGGGGCGGTGTGAGGCAGGCAGCAGCTCCTCCCCAAGGTGAGGCAAGGCAGGGATGCAGGCTGGGGCAGTGGGCTGGCAGAGGCTCCGCCAGCTCCGGGAAAGTGCTCCACTCCCTGGCCCTGATGCAGGGGAGCAGAGCACTTCCCCGGAGCCGGGGAGCCCACACCAGGCTCCGGCCCTGGCTCTGGCCCCAGCCCCTGGCCTCTGGCTCCAGCCCCCTTCGGTAAGTGTCCCACACCGGACTGAGGTGGTGTGCTCATGGACCACTGCTCCTTAGAGGGAACATTGGAATCCCACTCTACTTGGCTTTGGTGAGGCTGCAGCTGCAGTACGGCATCCAATTCTGGGCTCCACAATTCAAGAAGAATGTCGAAGTTGGAGAGAGTCCAGCGGAGAGCCATGCAGGTGATCAGAGAGCAAGAAAATAGGCCTTATGATGGGAGGCTGAGAGCCATGTGACTCTTCAGCCTAGAAAAGCGCAGGCTCAGGGGTGACCTGGTGGCTGCCTATAAATACATAAGGGGTGTGCATCAGGAACTGGGGGAACGTCTGTTCACCAGAGCGCCCCGTGGGATAACAAGGACCAACAGTCATAAACTCCTCCATGACTGTTTTAAGCTGGAAATAAGGAAAAACTTTTTTAATGTCTGAGCCCCCAAGGCCTGGAATAGACTCCCTCCAGAAGTGGTGCAGGCACCCACTCTGAATTCATTCAAGGAACGTTTGGATGCTTATCTTGCTGGGATCCTTTGACCCTAGATGACTTCCTGCCCCTGAGGCAGGGGGCTGGACTTGATCTCTCGAGATCCCTTCCAGCCCTAATGTCTATGAAATCTGGTTTTCTTCTCTAAGCCACTCTTTGCCAGACTCTTAAATTAATGTTGCAGATTTTTTTCTTGTGTACTAAGTATTATTTCTCAAAGGCATCTTTTATGTTATTCTGAATCCAGATATTTTCTTGTTATGCCTTTGGGACTCACCTTCTTACTAATGAATTTTTAACCTTTCCTAATTTCTTAAATTTGCTTTTGTTCACAATTTCAAGGGAGATGATGACAAGAGGAGAGAGGAGCAGAGGAAGTACGGAGTGTTCTTTGATGATGACTATGACTACTTGCAGCATCTAAAAGAAGCCTCTGGTCCCTCTGAGCTGGTCCCTTCTGTATCTGGTCCACAGAGCAGGATTGTGGAGACAACAGAAGGAGAGGTAGAAGAAGAAATCCAACAAATTCCAGTAAGTGAGGTATTTGTGTCACCAATGCTTGTTTTGTATTTTTCTCATGCGTCCTTTATCTAAATGTATCACCCCATTTTGTGATAAATGGTAATCTTGCTCGCCAAATATTCAGGATCTTATTTTTTTCCATCTTTGACATTTTTATATGGGAGTAAGTAGAATTTATAACCTATAATGACAATAATCTGCATTATATTAATCAGTTTATTTGCTAAAACACTGCAGTGACTTTCACCATGGCAGTATCATGTAGGTTTTTTGTTTTGGTTTAGATATTTTTTTGACTGTTAAAAAAGGCCTTGGGGTACCTGCCACTTTTAAGAGGTCAGGCAGCTTGCAAAGCTGCTGGCAGGTGTGGGCCAGGGCTAATGGTGAGTCAGCTGGCTCAGGAAACCAGCAGGTGAGGCTAGGCCTGATGGAGGGAGTCATCTGACTTACAAAGAGGGCTGGACTTAAAGCAAGTATAAGCCCAGGCCCTGACAGAAGCCCAGCAGTAAGATTTAGTCTCCTGAAAGAACGTCACCTCAGTGGGAGGACTGCAGCTCTGGAGTACCACCACAAAGAGGACATCTGAAGCAGTCTGGAGGTTTTGGGTAGGAACTAGGGCTCAAGGACATTCCTAGGGTCCCAGGCTGGGGTCTGGGTGAGCCCAGAGCGGGGGGCTCAGTGAAGAAGACCTTATTGTAGGGTCCAGGTGAAGCTCAAGGAGAGGGGCTCAGTGCGTAAGACCTACTGTGAGGCCCAGGTCAGCCCAGAGATAGACTGGGAGCCTAAGAGACCTGCTGAGGAGCCTGAGGGAGCGGACCTGCGAGTGGGTGTGGGCTTGCGAGGCTGCAGAACTGACCCCAATAGAATGTCACTGGCCTGGTAGGAGGGCCAGGGCCCAGAGAGGCCGGAGGCAGCCACAGCAGGAGGGCTGCTGAAGCCAGAGGGGAGCCCAGAGTTCTCAGCTGGCTGGAGGTGGGGCCAGGGCCTAGGAGAAGCCACAGGAAGAACCACCATCAGAGAGGAAACGGGATCACTGGCCTGTAGCCCAGAGTGAAGATGGCCAAGCCAGAGCTATCTGAGGAGTAGGGGAGCCCAGGAGGAGTGGCAGCAGAATGAACAACCCAGAGAATTTTGCTGGCCTGTCAGTGGGGCCAGGGCCCAGAAAGGGGCTAAAGGCTGGACATGGCCACATTAGGAGCCTGCTGGAGCCAGAGAGAGGCCCAGAGTTGTCAACTGGCCCAAGGCAGCGGGGGCAGGACCTAGGATAGGCCAAAGGTCCAGGTGGGGCCACTGTTGGAGAGGAAGGGGTCAGACAAACTGACTGCCCAGACTGAGAATGGTTGGGGCAGAGCCATCTGATGTAGAGGAGGGTCCAAGACAGCACCAAGACTAAGGAGCCCAGATGTAGGAGAGTCGGGGCCAGAAGTATCCTGGAGGAAGGCGAGAGCTGAGCCCAGAAGGGGGCCGAATGAGAGCCAATGAGAGTAGGGAGTGAGAGAGAGAGTGCCAGGGCCCAGGGAGCCCAGAGTGGTGACATCAGTAAGGGGCCAAGGAGCTTGTAGCCAGGGCCTAGGCTGGTATGACTAAAAACTGCACTCTACTAGTGTTTGGGGTCACAATAGTGGGACTGCTCGTGGCAGGAGTGGAAGGGTCCAGCAGCTGGGTATGGAGAGAAGCCCAGCGAGGGGCCAAGGGGTCTGGCAACCCAGAGTGGCTGAGTGAGGGACCCAGGGAGCTGAAGACGTGAGTGGGGCTGTGCGAGAGGCCAAGGGTCTGAGGGCCAGAAGGGTTATGTGAGTGTAGATGCATGACAAAGAAAATGTCTATGATGATGCCATCTGCAAGGCATGGGGCATACTGTAGGCGAGTTATGGAGCCGTGCAAATAGCCCATAAGGCAAAGGACCAGGTGGTCATTAGAACAAGACCAGGTCTGGGAAGCCCTGGGGCAGCCTTCCCTTTTATAATCATAAAAGACATCAAGATGTGGCGGGCAAGTGAAGGGACCTAGGCGGGGACCAGCAGCTCTCCCACCCTCTATCCAGTCCTCAGTGTGGCTTCCGAATCATGGTGGGGCTCCCCCACGCTTGGAGCACTCTGATTGACCATTTCTGTCAGCCAGTCAGAGCGTGAATAGAGCATTATGGACAGACAGACAGACTTGGGCTTTTATAATATTAGAATGCCCTAACTACCAGGCTATAAGCACTGTTCATCTACAACCCTCTTGTTGAAGCTTGAGCCACTGGACTGTGAAGAGTCATGGAACAAGAGGGAACATGAATTTATATCAGCAAAGAGAAAACTCCCTTAGGTTTGGGGAACTATGGGTTCTGGCACCTGCGGCCATCATCGTTGCTATATTTTATTTATTTATCATTTAACTAATTTGCTGTAAAAATATTAAACAGAACCTGTGATTTCACAAGGTCCCTTCCAGCCCTAAAATTCTGTGATGCCTGGTGCTTATGGGAATTTTTGGTGGCAGGGGCGTGGTATGGGTTCCAGTCCCTGTTCTCCAACACTGTTTTACAATAGCTTTTATTGGTTAACAAGCAAAAGTATCCAAAACTGCAAAACTCGCAGCTGCCCACAGTCAGAGCAGTGCTATCCTCACTGGGCTTGTAAAGTCAGGGTCTCTCATGCTTTTGGTCTTCCTTGACCTGCGTGGATCATTTTCAGTTGGTGCTTTGTTACTTAGGTTGTTTCAGTTTAGGTAAACATTTCTTCCCTAAGCTATCTGAATTTCTTTCAGCCCTGAATCAGTTGCCTAAGTCCTGGAAGGAGCAGAAATATAGCTATCTGCCTGGTCCTTGTGTGTCTATTGACTAGCCTAGTGGTTCCCAAACTCTGATGGATTGTGTACAACCAATTTAAAATGATACAACTTTAAGTACCACCAGTAAATTTTTGTCATATAAAGTAATTGTAAAAAATCTGTTGATGTGTACTGCTGACAGGGTGCCTGCGTACCACAGGCTGAGAACTGCTGGCACCTCCATTATGTGATCTGGGCAGCCTTGGGAGGTACTTAGTTCTCCCCTTTGACTATAAGAAACCTAGGAACTCTAATCTATTAATTTGGTTCATCCTCTTGGAGTTGATGCAACACACAAAATGTAGGTGCTTATGTAAGTGGAGGCACTTTAGAGACGGGTAAAGATCTGGCCACTGATATCAGCTGAAATCCTACTTTCTCTTGGTCAGTGCCCCAAGCCTATTTAAATTAATAGCTTTGTGTGTGTGTGTTTTGGGTTTTTTTGTTTTTCTAGGTTCCTTCTATTAATTTGCCTTCGTCGGTATTTGCTTCTGAGTTTGAAGAGGATGTGGGACTATTAAATAAAGCTGCTCCTGTTTCAGGTATCATCAATCATTTTACTCTACCTTTTATAATGTTAGGCCAGGACTGTCCAACTTCACCACAGCTCTGTGCAAACCATATCCTGAGGCTTACCACACAAGCATCTTCTTCCTGCCCTACCCCATGGGTAATACTAGCAGGACACAAGCCCTTCCCTGATGCACAGCAGTGAGAAGCACCTGCTGGGGCCATGGGCTGCATATTTGCTGTTCACAGGCTGCCAGGCAGATAGCCCTGTGCTGGGCCATCTTATAGTCATAAGTTACAAGGTCTACCCAAGCTGAGCAGCTCCACTGAGTTAACATGGTTGAGGCAGATCCGATAGTCACAGCAGAGCAGTGGTGGCAACCATTATGTCCAGTTGCTTTAGACACACAGTCTGTATGGCCTCATTTACATCCAAGCTGATGGGCAGCTTTTGACATTAATCTAGAGCTGAACTTGAACAGATTCAGGCCTCTGGAGCTCTAGTAAAATGCCATCACTTCTCAGTTGTCACACTCAGCTCAGTTTAGATCTAGGTGGTAATATTGCCTATGTTAAAAATAATCTACTTATTCATACTAGGTTTGCATATTTAGTATTATAGCCTTATTTCAGGTAAAGCTCAGTAGCAGAGGAGGAAAAGTGTCCCCAAAGCTGAGAACAAAATGTTTTATTGCAGCAAAACATTTTATTTGTCAACCTGTTACTGTTCCATAGTGATGCCTGTGAATCCCAGTGTAGAGCTGAGGGTTCATTCTCAAAATTTCCCTTGCTTTTTATTCTCAAAGTTTATTTTCCTTTAGGCCAAGGCTGTCCAGCTGGAGGCCCTTGAGCCAAATGCAAGCCACAAGGAGTTAAGTGCAACCCCCAGGCTCCTGCCCAGTCATTGCTCCCCTTATCACTCCATTTGCAGTGGGGAAGTCCATGTGGCTTCGGGGCCCATGGCTCACCCTGGTGTGGCCCATGCAGCATGTGGCCATCGCTGGTGTGGCCTGCAGGGTACATGGCCCCTGGCTGCTTGGAAGTTGGACAACCTTGCTTTAGGGGCAGATAGAAGAATTCCATTCATCTTCCAGTGTTAACATTTTAAACTTTAACACGGTTTAAACCTTGCTTAATTTAGTGTGACTGTGCCTCCATGTGCATTTGAGTAGGAATTTATTATGTTCTTATTGTGAGATTTAAGCATCCAGCCAGAAAAGGGAATGCTAGTAATAGTTCTCCAATGACTTGAAGTAGAGGAGTAGTTTGTGGTCCCTGCATATAACTTTTAGAGTGAGTCTTATTTTTCTTCAGTACACGATACATATATTAACAAATAGCAGTAATTATCACAATTGAAAATTTAACTCTAATTGTACGAAGAACTCCTAAGAAAACTTTGTAACTACTCTCTATGTTTTAACTATGCCACTGACTTAGGTTTTATCAGCTTTTAGAAATGGGGAAATTGAGGCTGGCATGTTTGTGACTTGCCTAGGGCTAGGGAGAAATTTTGGTGGTGCTGAAACTAGAATTTATTAATCCCCTGTGTTCCAGTTCTATGTTTAGACTGTTGGATATACATAACTTATAATGAGCAAGTATTGTTTTTAATTAAAACAATATGCACTGCCAAATTAAGCCCAGTCTTTGCTTAGAAGGAATTCCTCCTCCCTTTGTTTAAGGAATATTTATAAACACTATAAAGATCTCTGTTAAGTGCAAATTAGCACTTACAGATTTGGATGGCTTGGTTATGTCATGGCAACTTCAATGCAGTCCTTCGCGCTCTCTCTCTCTCTCTCTCAGGACCTCGTTTGGATTTTGACCCTGATATTGTTGCAGCTCTTGATGATGACTTTGACTTTGACAATCCAGATAATCTTCTTGAAGATGACTTTATTTTAAAGGCCAATGAAGCAGGGAATGGAGATTGCCGGTATATGAAGCTTTACAGAACTTTTAAACAGTGTAACAATTACTGTTAATATTGCTAATATTTTTTTTCAAATCTATCTGTTAGAAAACCAGAAAGGTTTCATATTATAAATTAGGCTTATGCTTGATACCAGATCTGTGGTTTAAACAAAGGCATTAGCAGGCATGGTTTTGCCAGCGCTCTACAAGTTCAGATTCATTTTGTCCTGGGTTAAGGCTGTTAAGTGAGCATCTTTTGCCAGCACTAACATCACAAATAAATATGTATATGCCTTATGTTTTCAAGCTGGTTTAACACAATTTCAAAACTTGCCAATATGATAGCCAGTAATGTTTCCAGAGGCCCTTTAAATACACTTCAGTGACAATTTAAAAAAAATCTAAAATCCATCACTTCATATTATTTCTAGCTTTAGCCATTGTATATGATTCTACAGTATAACGAGCACTTAAGCAATTTTACTAGTATTAATAAACCAATATTCTACTCCTTTTCTTTCCTTTGGCCAATTCCTGATGTATAAGAAATCAGAAATGTTACAAGTGAATTACATTGTTGAAGGCCAATAGTGAAGCATTTTGACCGTAAACCTTAAAAATGTACTAGATTACACTCTTTCACTTTAATTTTAACATCAGTCTTACTGTTAAACTTGTTCTTTTTTGTACCTGCATGGGGAGAATCCTTGTCTCTTTTCTTAAACTTCATCCATATGATGCTAAACTACTTTAGTATAAGCTTAAGCCATGGTGAAATAACAGAGTAAGCAGGTCAACAGGCATTTTCCTTTTTAATTTTTTAGTGGCTCTGATACTGAGGATGAAGGTGAATGGGAAGATGTGGATGATGATGAAAGTGACAGTGATGGAGATTATGATTCAGAAGGTCCTTTATCAGACAATGAAAGAGTCAATGGAGAGATGAAGGAGTTTCTTTTCATGCAAGAGGAGACCAAGAGCCGATTCACAGATTATTCCTTGACTTCTTCAGTCATGAGAAGAAATGAACAGCTTACCCTGCTGGATGACAGATTTGAGAAGGTAAGGCAGCTTAGGGATACATATACCGAGAAGAGCAGCTGTCATTTGAAAATTCTGTTCTGTTTTTATTTTTTCATTTAAGTCTTGCAGTCTGATCCACACAGGCATCCCTTGTGCCTGTACAAAATCCTCATGGTCTTTATCTCTCAGTGATGTTATGAGTTCTTCACAAACATTGTGTGATATGCAGTGCAAACTTAAAACAGCTTGCATCAAATATAGTTTTGTATTCTCATTCATTTTAAAAGCACTAGCGATATAATCCTAACATTGACTCCCTTTTTTTCACCCCTCACCACTTCCTTATTCTTCTCCCCCCTGCCCCCAACATCCCAGATCGTAATTGGGGGTTTTCATAACTAATAGCGAACTGCCTGCAGGAAGATGCTGAATGCTAGGTAGTAGAGACGCAGTTTTTTTCATCCCCATTTGTAATTTTGTAGGGGTACTTTTCTCTTGTTAGATGGTGTTATATCAGAGGTGCTTAACCCCTGGCCTGCAGGCCAGATCTGGCTCCTGGCACCATCTCATCTAGCTTGCAGGACTCCCCATGGGTCCTGCAGAGAGTCCCGTGAGCTGTGGCCATGTGTGCTAGATATAATGTGCAGGGTAACATGGGGTCTGATCCCAGCACATGGTGTGGCATGGGACCCCAAGTGCCCTATCCCTTCCGGGCAAGGACAGCACAGAGCCTGATCCAGCCCTAGGACTGGCCCCAGGCCATTCTTCTGGCCTATGGAGCTGAAATGGAGCACCACTGTATTAAGCAAATTATATGTTTAAGGTGTATTACATCTTTTATACAACAAGCACACAAAGTAAAACTTCTCTATTAAACAACATTGGCCTTATATTTCATCATCATCCCCAAGGCAAAAATGAAATTTGATTGTATCATGTTGAAAGGGTAACTTCAATGGGGAAGATAGATCTACCCTATTATTTTATTCTATGGACTTGTTTAAAAAATGTGTAGAAAGAAAGTAGAATGGAAAATATTACTAGATTCTTTTAGACTTTCATACTTAAATCAACGTATGAACAAATTTGTGTAACATAAGAAATGCAGTGTACATGCAAACTTTCTTTTTTTCATTTTTAGTTCTATGAACAGTTTGATGAAGATGAGATTGGAGCACTGGATAATGTGGAATTAGAAGGCTACATTGACGCTGATAGTCTTCGGTTAGAGGAAGTCCTGAATGACTACTATAAAGAGAAAGCTAAGGAGTATGTGCAATATACTTTGCTTTTGATTTACTATAAGTAGCTCTAAGTGTTGATGCATTGTAACTTGCTTTTGCTAAAAAAATCTTTGTAAAGTATTCTATCTTACATTATCACTGAATCGCACTATGCTCTCTACTGGCTAAATGTATATGACCCAATTTGTTGCTTCCGGAGTGGGGCGAGTACATCTTTAATAAGCAGTTGTCCTGATGATACAGTCCCAAAAAACGTAGGGACTATATTATCAAAACACTGTGCCAAATACTCTTGAAAGTAGAGGGGGCTTATTTAGTTAATCTACTTCTGATACTTCAAATGTATAAACCAGTGGGTTATTATGAAGGCACTTGGAGAAGACAGAGGAAGGGAATTTTGTCCTACACGAAATGTAAGACTACATCCACATTAAACTTGATATATCCAGCTGCAGTGCCCTCAAGTTTGCAGTCAGTATTGTTCCCTGTGGGCTATACCTACTAGACTAGAATCATTGTAGGCACATCCATGCGACTCTTTCAGCAGTGTGATTTTTTTCACTGCTGAGTGACAGTGCCATTTAGCCAGTCCCTCAGTTTAATGAGCTTGCCTGTAATACTAGATGGACACAGTTACTCTGCTTCCAGTTTAGGAGGTATGCTGAAGGGCACTATTGCAGTACACAGTAAACTTAGCAGATATGGGCTAAGCATATTTAAAAGAAGTACATGTAGGAAAGGCTTTCCTGTTTTAGGGAAAAGCTCAACAAAGAGTTAAGTTAAAGTGAAATTATTTTTTAATATTTCTGCTTCCCACACTTCTCTGTTTTCTCAAAAAGCTGCGTGAAACTTGATATTCTTGAATCCTGTGAAGATTTAGACTCTCCCATGAATGAGAAGAAAGAGGAAGGAGAAGAAATTGTAACTTTAGTTATTGAAGAAACCAAAGAAAAATGGGATTGTGAATCCATTTTGAGTAAGTGTATGGCATTCATTTGCTTTTTCCACAGGTAATAAAGCAGGTGACAGATTGTCTGCTTATTTGTAGAAAAGTTTCTAGTCAAAATAGCTTACACATCTGGCTGGCAGGTTCATGAGACGTTCTCAATAAACACATTTATTTTTCAGTGTTATGTGAAAATTACCCACAATTAGTTATGAGTCTTTCAAATAATGTATAACTTTAAAAATTGTAAAGTAAGAGAACCACTTCTTAGTTCAATTCACTTCTTTGTTTTTGTTTTTGTTTTAATTTGCTTTAGGTACATACTCAAACTTGTACAATCATCCAAAACTTATTGAGGAACCATCAAAGGTAAAAGCCTTTTATTCTTTACTGTGTGAAGTGCGTAGAGTTCTGAGCACATTTTGTATCATCAAGAGACTGCTATTTTCTAAGGGTACAGCGATAGAGATTTTTGGGGCCAATACCAATAACCGATTTTTAAGGAGGCATATTAGCTGATACTGATCCAGTTTCCGATATGCAGCCTAGCAGCTTGGAGAGCTGCGTTCAGCTGGTAAGTCTGTTGTGGGGGAATGGCAGGGGGAAGGGAAGAGGTGTGTGGGGAGGGGTGGGGAACAGGTCTAGGCCTCTGCAGAGAGGGAGGGAATGGGGCTGGGGCAGGTGCTGCCCAGCCAGGGCAGGGCAGGGCATGGGACAGCCATGGGGGGGAGGTGGCTCCCACTGCTGCGTGCACCCCAGGACAGCGTGGTGGGGGCGGGGGGTGCCCCCAGATCTGGATAGGGCAGGGTACAGCTGCAGGCTGGGGCTGCACTGGGCTCCCCCCAGTGTGGGCTGGGCCGGGCTGTGCTTGGGGCAGGTGGCAGTGCCGGCAGGGTAGATACCAAGGGGCTGCAGCCACCCCAAAGTTTTCCACAGCTCCCCCACTCTCAGTGCTGCTGCCGCCCACTACAAGCGCAGCCTGGCCCAACCCCCGCTGGGAAGAGCCCAGTACAGCCCCGACCCCAACCTGCAGGGCCAGCCCATGCCACGCAGATCCAGGGCACCCCCCCCCCACCATACCCTTCTGGGGTGCACATAGCGGCAAGAGCCACCCCCCTGGACAAGCCACGACTCCATTGCGTGCCCTGCCCCGCCCCAACCCACCCCAGCTGCGCAGTGCCTGCCCCAGCCCCACTCCCTCCCTTGCCGCAGGGGCCTTGATTTGCCCCACCCCACAGCCCTTCCCTCCACCCTCCCCTTCCACCGCAACAGACTTAGCAGCTGTATGCAGCTCTCCAAGCTGCCAGGCTGTGCTCCGTGCTGCCTACATGCTGCACTACAGCTGCATGCACAGGGTGTGCATGCACAGGGCAATTATCACCCAAATGATTGACCACATCAGGCTGATACAGTCAATTTTCTTTATCAGTGCCAATTCAATATTGGACCAATGTATCAGTGCACCTCTACTATTTTCCCAATGGCTGCATTTTTTTTCTTTAAGTTGAGCTACAAGTGTGGACAATGTGCTTTGTTTTACTTCGTCGTTATATATACAGGTGAGTTAGAAAGTGTTGCATTTGTCAGAGTATATCCCTAAATAAGATGTCTCAAGCCACTGATGTGAATAAGAATACTGCCATGCTGGCCATCACTACACACTTTTTGAACATAAAGTTAATACTATTAGTTGCCATCAGCAATTCAACAAAGAGAAGCTAAGTTTAGATTCCCATGTGCACATTTAATTCATGCATTCAGAAATCTCCCAGAGGTTTCTGTTTTTAAAAATGTAAAGAAATGAGAGGGAAACATTAAGGCAAAGCTTAGTTATTATAAACACTGGCAATTTTAAATTTATGTAATCAGCCATCCATAATCCACAAAGAAAGGTGGAGTTAGTAAGTTTGCATACCAAAAATACTAAGAAAGTAAAACAAATATGTTTGAGAAAACAGTTTTCATGAAGATAGAACTTTGCTTCCTGTTTTAATTGAAGGCTGAGAACATTCATTCTACTTGCTTCTGTTTTGCTGGAGAATTTTCAAAAGATAAAATCTAATTTTATATACCTGACATTTCTAAGATTTAAAAAAGAAGATATGCAACCTCTTTTCTTGTGGAGACCTTTATAAAGAAGGCAAAAGTACACATTCTAACTTTTTTGTTTTGAAAATTGCGTTTGAGTAAGACTTAAATATTAAGTCAAGAAAGTTATTTTCTCTGTTTTTTATGTGTACATGTAGCCTGTGTTGGTTTTGGAATCAGTAAACGTGTCTGAATTTGCCTTGGGAAATTTCTGTGTTGTTATTATGAAACTTAGTGATTTTGTGCTTTTGGAAGTAGGCAAGAGTGATTGTTAGTAAATAGAAGAGAAGAAAAGGGAGGGTTAAAGAAAGTCATTAGGCAGATCTGTTTTATTTGTGTCTTAGCCCAGACCAATTAAAATTTCCCAGAAGACTGGAATCCCTCTGGATGTCTTGCCTCAAAGAGGTCTTACAGCTAAGCAGACTGAACGCATGCAAATGATTAATGACAGTGACCTGCCAAGAGCATCGACACAGCCACGTTCCAAAAAGGAGAGCAAAGAAGATCGAAAAGCTAGAAAACAGGCTGTCAAAGAAGAACGAAAGGTAAAATGTAGCATCAGGGTTTCTCCTTTTTGTGCCTGTGTTTTTTTTTCCTTGTTGGTCTTTGTGGTAAAGGCCACCACTGTTTGCAGTTCAGTTTGCATCCTATCTTGCCGATGAAGGTCCCAGATTCCCTGTCCAGCTCCAGGCCATCTGAACTTGAACTGGCAAGTACTGTAGATTCATTCCACTGGTTAGAAGTTTCAGGTAGGAGGTGGGGGGACTTCAAACCTAGGGGCCTAAGATTGCAGTTTCTGGCTGTTCATGTCAAATCCCTTTGCTGCTTCCTGTCACAGACTTCAGTCTGGTCATTGCTCTGTGGAGCTAGTCACCAGCCTTCTTTCAGTGGTCTTGGGATTCTCTGCAGTCACAGAATGATGTGCAGACAAGTCGGGGCAGAATGCTGGAAAATTTGCGTTTTCCCCCTTTCACCCCTTCAATGCGCACACAAAGTAGGAAAATGTGTTTTAACAGTTACCATTCCTTCAAATTCCTTCCTCTTCTCAGTTTCTTCTTCTTTTCACTTAGAAGACAGACAAGAGAACAATGCACAGTGGTATTACTTCTGTCTGTTTATTAGACTCATGCTAAATAACAGTTATTCTGAGATCTGTCTGGGGTTTTGAAGGTGATTGGGAAGGGGAAAGTCCTAACATTTTCCTCAGCAAATCCAGAAAACAATTGTAATGTGTTAATACTTTCTATGTTCAGGAACGCAGAATGGAAAAGAAAGCCAACAAATTGGCCTTCAAGCTGGAGAAAACAAGGCAAGAAAAAGAGCTGCTTAACCTGAGGCAGAACATTCAAGGGCTCAAGCTGTCATAGTTGAACTGACTCTTATTGTGGAATATCCTTGCATTGATGCTTTGTGCCAGAATCTTGGGATGGATGCTGCTGACTTAACCTTGTCCCATCATGTCAGAAATGGAGAAAAAGGGTGTTTGAGTAACTCTACAACCAGAACCTATCATTTTTTATTATTTTTTGTAAATGTATAGATGAGGTGAATCATTTTGTTATAAACTAAAATTAATAATAATATTGTATTTTTATGAACATAATATGGCAACGAGTGATACACTTAAGATACACTGGGAATATAGTATGATGCTCATTAATAGAAAAGTATATTTTTTTTTCTATGCAAGTGTCATGTTCTAACAAATGTCTGGACAAATATATTACAGTACATAAATTCTTCCCTTTATATTGGTACTTAAATACAATTACTTTCTTGATTTAACGTAGTCTCATATATCAAGGTTATGCAGATTTTTTCACAGCACCCCTGTGCTGTTTATTGCCTATGCATCTGAGGTAACTTGTGTGTTGCCCGGTTTAAAACCTCAAAGTCAGAAATGACTGTTGTTGTTGCTCTTGAAATTGAAGTTAACCTGGTGGCATTAAAGACTCTATAGCAAACATTGTACAAAAAACAGTAATATATTAAATTGTTCACAACCAGAAAAACAACAGAAAATAATGTGTGGGGTGGGGGTCATTGTGTGTGTGCGTGGGGGGGTATCGTGTGTTACAGTATGTATCTGGTGTGTGGGTGTGGTCTGTGTGATTAGTCTCTATTCTGCCAGTTCTGGAGGTCAAGAAGGCATGCCAAGGATTCATTGTATCCAGCTGCAAGACTGAAAAGCAGGAATTCTTGCATTTCCTCCAATGGGGAGTGCACATTGCCTGACTGTTTGCCCCCATCTACTCCCCATGTTGAGGCAGGAGAAAACAGCACAATGAGATGCCAGAGGTTTAAGCAATCCACCTGCCAACTGCTGTGGTGCATACAGATGTTTTGGGAAGTGCTTCAAAAATATTCCTCATTTTTTGAGAAACTCTTATAAAGCATGATTTCAGCTGTGAATGTCTGTATGTTCTCTAGACTTCAAACATTACATCCACCTGGGGCCTTAACCAGAAATCATAAGATAATCATTTTCTATTTGTAAGTTGTCCACCTGGTCTCTGATTTTCTTTTAATTTATCTCTCTTAGTTTGTCATATTGTTTGCTATGTTCCAGTTCAGTGACCATACATAGCTGTTTTTGGAAATGTCTTTGGTTTCTTCTGCACGAGCCACTCTAACCTAAATGAGATTGACAAACCGTTTGTTTTTTCCCCAATGTTACTGTGTTATGCTAAACTAGTGGTTCCTAAAATTACCTTTACGTTCTTACGAATGCCTAACAAAGAAGAGCAAATGTAAAAGGCATTTAAAAGTGCGTTGGTTTTAACCTCTACCACTGGAGATTCATTTGTGCGCTTGTTTGATTTTTTTTTTTTTTTTTTTTCCAGCTTGAATATCAGAAATTTAGTCTCCATTTTTTTAATAGAATCTCCCCCAGATTCTGCCTTAACCAAATCATGAAGTAACAGCAGGGTGGATTTTATTTAAATCAAATTGATTTAAATCATGATGTAAATCACTGGTCAGGAAGCTTCAATTTAATCATTGTTCTCTGTACAAACTTGCAGAGACAAGAGGGTTGATGGGTAAGTAATTAGGTCTTTTATCTCTCATCTACATATACTGCTGTTAACAATGATGTTAACTCTGGAGACACAAATCCAGTTTGAGAACTGAAACTAAGGATCAGAGATGCTTAATAGGATCTTCTAGACCAGGCTTGTCCAACATACAGCCCACAGGCCTCCATGCAGCCCGCCAAGGCATTTTCTGAGGCCCAAGGTGCTGCGATGGCAAACAAAAGTAAACACTGTTTACTTTCATTCCCACCCCTTGTCCCTCCCCCAGCCCCTCAGCAGCTTCCTAATGGCTGCTGAAGGGCTGGGGAAGGGACAAGGCTCCCACATGCACCGCGTCATCTTGACATTTCCTATGCGGTGCATGTGGGAAGAGGAGTAGCCATGTGCCGCTCGGGACAGGATGAGCCCAGCTGGAGCAGCAGGGGCTCAGCTGCATTTTCCCCCTACCTGCATGGGTCAGTCCTGCTTCTGCTGGCTGGTGCTGACCTGCCCGGCCTCCCCGTCCCCAGCAGCATGTGGGAAGCCAGCAGTGGGGGGGTCTCGTCAGGCAGGGTCCTGGCGTGACCTCTGCGGGGCGAGGCAGCAGGAGCCGGTGTCTGCCAGACCCCGCGCTCCAGGCTTGCAGTGCCGAGGCCACCGGGGCTGCGTGTGCGGGTGACCGGGCGCCACGGTGAGCAGGGCCGTGCAGGTGGGCAGGTGAGGGGCTGCGGTGCAGCATCTGCCTCACTCCAGCCCCCCCTCGGGCAGTGCCTGCTCGTGGGGCTGCGCTGCTCAGGGGATGGAGATGTGGAGCTATTTATTTCTCCTCTTCAGTCTCTGGGGCAGTAGCTGGCTGGATGCAGAATGGGTCCCTCCTTACCCTGCCCACCAGCAGCTATCATGAACCTTACAGTAACAGGCAGGTGCAGTAGGGCTGCACAGGCAGGGTCTCTCTGGCCCAGGACAGAAGGTGTTTGAATATGGCTCGCTGGCCCACTGGGTGATAAAAAGTTCATGATCCAGCCCCACATTCAAAAAGGTTGGACACCCCTGTTCTAGACCAGTGGTTCTCAACCTTTTTTGTGCCAGGACCCATTTGTAAAAATTTGATGGCTAATGCCTCTCACGCCCAACCTGCTGCCCCCCACCCCCAGGCTCCAACCCCCTGCAGTGTGTGGGGCAGGAGGTGGGTGTGTGGGAGGGGGTGGGTCTGGGCCATGGAGTACCCCAAGCAGCCCCCAAGCAGCCCCTTGCAGGCTGTAACTGCCAGCCTGCGAGAGATTAGCCAGTTTCCCATGTTTTTCTCTTTTAAAGGAGAATCTATTTTTAAAGTTCACAATCTTTCAAATATTCTTGTGACCCGCAGGTTGAGAAACACTGTTCTAGACTGAGCACTGAGTCTCATTGGGTAAAGCGGTTTTCTTTAATCTTTACTAATCTATAGAGGAGCCTCTGGGAACCCTGTAAGATTGGGCCCCTAATATAGTCCATGGCCTGTTGTGACCTACGTATAAAACTTTTCTAAAAAGGTTACATAAATATATTGTCTCAAATGGTATATAAGTAGGAGTTATAATCCCTATTCCACGATGATATGAGCTTTAATGTATCTTAAAACTACCTTTTATATAGGTGTTTTTTTTAAAAAGCATCTTAACCAAAAAAGTAAAAAAATATGATTAAATAAAAGAAATCTGATTTATATTTTAAAATCCTATTTTTTTTATTTATTTATTTTTTAAATCGTTAATTTTTATCCACCCTGGGAAATAGCCAATCTTCTTATGGTAAAGAGAAGAAAAAAAATCATGTAGGAAAAAAAATCTTAATTTCAGGCCTTTAGTGTTGTCCTCACTGCCTTTCATGCGCATCACAGACTGAGGGAGTATGTGTGTATGTGTCATAATTGTTAATTATTTGGTTGATGATAGCTGATGATTTGGCTGTTCACAAGTATGTGGACTTTGAGTAAAGATAGCTGACCACCCAGTGTCCATGTCTCCTAATGCAGTCCTGAAGAAGGAATCTGAAAAATCTACATATTGAGATGAATCAAATGCCTGTGAAGGAATTAAGTGGAGCAAGTGAGTAATGTGCAGAGCCTACATTTTGAATGGCGTAATTTTTTGGTTTACTAAACATGAAAATGAGTTAGCAACCATATAATGTGGGTCTGTGCAATTCTGATGTCTATCTATGATCTGTGGTTGAGCAGCATAAAGTCACTGAATCAGACTTGTGAACAAGATGGAGACGAGGCCTAGACTTTACTTCAAAAAATACCTTGTCTGTCCTTTGCACTCTTGTCAGCTTTAGATCCAGCTGTTTCCATCTCCCAAATGAATTAGGTCTATTTCAGGTTACTCAACATCTTGTACTTAACTATTTCCTTTTTTAGTCCATATCTCACTACTTGGGCTGATGCTCTGGGAACAGAATCCCCATAGGACAAAAGGGAGGTGGTTGACACATGTTAAAAGACTAACAATTAGGTAACAAAAGAGTTTTATAGCCAACAACTTCACTACTAAGACAAGTTACCACAAGCAGTTGAACAGTGTAATGAAGTTACCTCATGCAAGTGAATATTATAGACCCTGGATTGTGCTTATTTCTACTCAGCTTTTCAGCCCTGTTCTTTCCTTCCTTCAGACGTGGAACAGCAAGGTGTTGAACCTATAAGTCTTGTTTTTCCCCGAACAATAGAAATATTTATGGCCCCTTTTACAGGGAAACTTGAGCAATCTGCTTACAATGGGCTTAGCGCAAAGAATGTTATATAAAATAAGAATGATTTGTATTATTTGGGAGCGCACAAGAGTTGGAAAAGCTTTTCAATTATCCATTGAAATCAAAACACTTTGAAATTTGTTTTTCAATGAAATTGCATCAGGAGGAAAAACAAGTAGAAAGCAGACATGACAATGTCCAATAAACCCTGACCTTTTCCAGCTGTATTCTTGAGATGCACTAACCAGCAGTTTCAAGTACTGCTGTTCAGTGCTCCTGAAAATGACTTTGCTTCCTTTTGATGTAATCAAGATAACTTACAAATTGTCCCCCTTGTCCTCAGCTGATCTTACAGGTTTTATCATGCAAAGAAGTTCGAAGAATAATAGCAAGGCTACATCATGGGTAGTTCACTTACTTGGGTACATAGAACTAATCACACTTTTTGGCTCCCAGAATGTCAGCATTTATCTCTCTACATTTGATTTGGAACAGCGTAATAAAACAGAGATTCGTATGCAGCTCAGTTGTGCTCTAATGTATATAAATTTGTAATGTAGGGGGATTTGATATGTGGTGGTAGCTGATAGGACTAAATAAACTTAAATATTAATCTTCTGAAGAAAGAAAACTCACATTCTGTCTCAAAAGAATGAAGACCACATCATACTTACACTGGTTGCAAAATATCTCTTAGTGCCTGAAAACTGTAGGCAATCATATTCAAGTTGAATAGGTCCCTTTGCCATTAAGGATCCTGATTCTTTGTTGTTTACAAATGAAAGGATTGAAATAAACTGAGCCTCAGCATGAACATCTAGTTTTTGATCCGTTGAGCTGTAATCTCTGCAGTGAGACAGCATGGACACATTGTATTGCTTCTCTACACTGCCATTATGATGTCATTGAAGAACTGCATTGTCCTAAACCGGATTTGTCCACCTGGCAGGCTGTGGGGCTTGTCGGTACAGATGCCAAAGCCACTGTATGGGCATAGCTCCAGAGCCAAGGGGGTGAATACTGCTACGTAAACTGGAAACAGTGGAAAAGTGGGGTAAGGAAAGGTGGCATTCATCTGGGTTACAGGCCTGTGCCAAGGCAGCAGCTCCCACAGCCATATTGACAAACCACTGCCCTGCTGCTAGAGGTGGGACATCTGGCCCAAAGGACCAATTAAGTTGAACAGCCATGTTCTACACCATCCTCTAACAGCATGGCCTTCAACTTGAAATATTAGTATGATTTTTCAACACTAGTTGTCTTCAGAGCCTCAAAGATGTGATATGAAACTGTACAGAAGTTAGGAGATCCTTGCTTGAACAAGTGTGCTTCTGGCTTATACAAAATGTCCCAGGTTATTGGGGAAATTGGACATTTTGACTGCTAAAATACTGAGAAATTCAAAAATGATTGTCATATATGCAACTTGCAGCAAATGCAACATCAGTCGTTTAAGCATGTTTCAGAGTTTAGGTCAGGAATTCCAAACCTGTATGGCCATGAGTTGACCAAAATGTTTTAACTTTATAGAAAAGAACATAACTGCCATTTAGTGGTTCAGACTGTAGGGCCATTTTGTCCTATGTCCTGTGTCACAATGGCAGAGAGTGGATACTGAAAGGGAAGAGAACAGAATGACAAGGGTTTTTTTTCCTTTGTTCTTCCATTTGTAACCTCCAGCATTTAAGTTCTAGGAAGTTTTGAGTCAGAGGCTTTACCCCAAACTCCTCCCATGTTCAATAGCTACTGGGTCACCTTTTCTCCAAGAGTTGTTTTTTTTCTTAATCTACCTAAATTGTCAGCTTCCACAACATCTTGCGGCAATCAGTTTCATACTTCAATACTATGCTTTGTGAAAAAGAACTTCCTTTTAGTTTTAAACTTACTGTCTACTCCATTTATTTTATGGGCCCTAGTTCTTGTATTGTGAGATAATAATACATCCCTGTTTACTTACTTTCTCTTAAGCATTTACAAAATACTAAATGGTGATCATATCCCCCCTCAAGCATCTCTTCTCTAAACTGAATAGACGTAGCCTCTTTAGTCTCTCCTCATAGGGAAGCTGCCCCCCCCATACCACTAACCATCCTCGTTGCCCTTCTCTGTACCTTCTCTAGCTCTTGTCTCCTTTTTGAGGTGTGGGGACCAAAACTGGGCCCAGTATTCAGGTGTGGATGTACCATGGATTTCATAGATTCATAGATAGGGTTGGTAGGGACCTCAATAGATCATCAAGTCCAACCTCCTGCATAGGCAGGAAAGTGTGCTGGGTTCAAATATCCCCAGGCAGGTGCCTATCTAACCTCCTCTTGAAGGCCCCCAGGGTAGGGGAGAGCACCACCTCCCTTGGGAGCCCATTCCAGATTTTGGCCACTCTTAACTGAAGAAGTTTTTCCTAATGTCCAGTCTAAATCTGCTCTCTGCTAGCTTATGGCCATTATTTCTTGTAACCCCCAGGGGCGCCTTGGCGAATAGAGCCACTTGAGCCCTGTGACTGGCGCCTTTGTTGCCCCCTTTGATTTATAAAAAGGTATAATGATCCTCGCTGTTTTGTTCCCAATTCCCTTAATAATCCCTACCATTTTGTTTGCCTTTTTGATGGCTGATGAGTTCTGAGCTAAGGTTTTTAACAAACTGCCCACAATGACTCTTAGATCTCTTTCCTGTGTGGTAACAGCTAACCCATCACAGTGGGTTCTGTCCACTAAATTCAGGGTCCCAACATAGATACAGTTTGGGTTATTTTTGCCAGTATGCATCACTTCATACTTATCTACATCTGCCATCTACTTGCTTATTTGCTCAATCATGCCAGATCCTTCTATAGTTCCTTATGGTCCTTTTTGGCCTTTACCACTTGGAATAATTTTGTGTTACTAGCTGAAACCTGCAAAGCATTTGCGATGAAACTTGGGGTGCCAGTGGGTGGGTCCTGCCTGGGGGACACCACTGCCATGGAGGGAAGCATCAGGGTCCTTGCAGCTCAGGGGCTGTGCGACGGGCTGGCAGCTCACTTCCTGGGTGTGGGAGAGGTGGCCAGGCTCCAGGGAGGGGAAAAAAAAGGATTGGGCCCCTCACTGCTTTTTTTTTTTTTCCCCTTCAGCAGAGCCTGCCCACTCCAAGGCAGGGGTCCTGATGCTTCTTTCTAGCTCTGATTTACCTGCCTATCTGTTTGAAATGTCTCAGGGTCTATAATAATAACATACTTATTCTGCCTGTTGGGAGCACTCTGGTTGGTTGTTTCAGTAAGCATTGTGATTGGCTGCCAAGACAACCAATCAGAGTGCTCTGGACAGATGGAGTACGCCTATTATTATTACAGATTTGCAAATTTGGCCACCTCACTACTCTCCCCCTTTTCCAGATCATTTATGAATATGTCACACAGCACTAGTCCCAACACAGATCCCTGGGGAAGCCTGCTCTTTACTTGTTTCCATCTTGAAAAGTGACCGCTTATACTAGCTCTGTTTTCTATCCTTAAGCCAATTTCTAATCCATGAGTGGGCCTTCCCTGTAATCCCATGACTAAACTTTGACAGTTTTTATGAAGAATGAAACTTTGTTAATTTAACTTCAGAAAAGTACTTAGTTTTAGGGGGGGTTTCCTGTTTTCACTTTTAAAATATTTTCCATTTGAAAAGTCAGATCAAGAGAGAGAGAATTACTTTCTCTGGACTTTCAGTTTTTCTCAGGTATTTCAGTTTTCCAGAGGAGGAAGCTGAGAAAATGAAAGCTTTCCCTCTATTTTCAAAGAACATTTTTCATTAACCAAAAAATTAAAAATGTATTCTACTCACTTTTCACTGTTTCACTTTTACTGAGATGTCACAGGTATATATCTGTGTGTGTTTTGTTGAACCGTTTACGGTGGTTGGTAATAACTAGTTGCTACTATTTAGTAGCAGTTTTGGTCAATTAAATCTGTTACAGTCCCATTCTTAGTGGTGGCATGGATAGTTTTCCACCATCACAATTGGCATTTTTGTTGGTGGAGTCAGCAGAGATGCTGAGGATTTGAATTTGTTATGGGACCTGCATTTCCCTTTTACCTCCAGACAGGGTTAAGGAAGACTGCGCTCCAGATACTGGTCCTGTCTTCCCTACCTCTCAGGTTCTAGACCTGCCAGTCACACCACTTGCTAGGCAGTGATATAAGTGGTTTGTGATTAAGATGGAATAAGGTCTTTGCTCACCTGCTCTCTTTCATCCAGATTTTATAATATGACCTGGCTACCTGCACCCATACTACAGTAAGCTGGGCATCAGTAGAGGGAAAGGTGAGTAGAGGCCAGATGAATAAAGGCACTGCAAGCACAGATAAGGAGCCCTTCCTACTAGGTGATGAGATAGGAGTAACAGGGGTGGTGACAGGAATAAGCAGAGATAGCCACAGGTCAGAGGTACTTGCCAATACTGCAGAAGTATTGATAAGCAGAAATACTGGTCGACTGAGGAGAAATACGTAGGAACAACGATTTGGCCACAATTCAAAGTTAAAGTATTATATATGTTTATATAGTATTGTAGTGTCTAAGCACGCAGTTAATTAGTCCTCAGCTGAATGGTCAACCTGGACAGTTTCTTGCATGAAACCATAAAGTGTCTGTAAGTAGCTCTCAGTTGTGGAAATGAGGAACTTCACACCATGCGTCAGTGAGAGAAACAGAAGAAATGCACTCTGGATATCTGCAAGGTTGGGGATTCACTCCATCATTGAGGTAAGTTCACAAAGGTCTGGGGGAGAGACATTCATCTCCTGCTGATGTTTTTATAAAGGGCCCCTCTGCCAATAAAGCAGTTGGTTCCAGCAATCATAGATCTACGCTGAACATTGATTCCTTTGTGATCAAGACATCCAGTGTGACTAATAGCTTGCTATTTTGAATTTTATACAGCTGCCGGAAGTCAAGTTTTGTTTCCTTGTGAAATCTGTGGAAGGCACTTCAAACAAGATGTTCTGGTAAAGCAAATTAATTATACAATGATATTTTCTAGTTGTGTAGACCCTGTCAGCCTGAAGGATCCCACAGCGTTTCATAAGGTGTGTGTATACATGTGCAATTAATGTGAAGCTATAAATTCCAGAGTTTACTGCTGGGCATGCTGTTTGAATGCATGTCCTGGACCAATAAACTCAGAAGCACTGAAACACCCTAGTGCCCCAGACAGGTGGGGTAAACTCTGCAGCAGGATAGTACTTGTATTTATAGTAGTTAAATTACAAGCACTATCCTGCTGCGGAGTAAATTTAGTTTACTCCCGCCTAATAGGGGCACATGCGTAGATGCCAAGATGATTTCTGCATACCTAATTAGTTTGCTGCACAGTTGACATCTCATGTAGATGCACCCAAACTGTATATGTGTAGCACAACCTAAAAACAGCCATCCCTAAGATGTAGCACAGCAATCAACCAACATACTGTTGTTTGCTACATAATAGTTAGCAACAATAGCATAACTGTGGGGGGGGGGGGGGGGGGGGGGGGGGTTTGGGGAGGCAGAGGTTTGGGGCCCGGTTTTGAAAGGGGGGGGGGAGGGGCAGGGTGATTAGGGCAGCAGCAGTTCTGGGCACTGTCTTGATAAGGGGATGGCAGAGGCACAAAAACAGTTGTGGCTGCAGTGGGAATTAATAGCATTAGTACCACTGCTGCTGGCTGAGACAGAGCTGCCCTAATGTGTCTCTGGTGAGCAAGATGAATAATTATGCCCAGAAATGCCAGGACAAGCCTTTTTTTTTTCCTGAAAGTACCCTGAGGCTGTGTGCGCGCATGCATGCATGCGCATTTACTAGAAAGGAGCTTTAGGGATGGGGAGAAGAGAAGTGGGTAAATGCTACAGTTTAACTGCAGATGTTGAAAGAAGTAAAATGGTATGAAAAGTACTTTCATGACTGAGGTAGATTAGGGAATTGATCACATTTCATTAAATTTGGCTCAATCCCAAACACTGCACAATTCTTGGAAAGTGTCCTAATTAGGAAAGGGAGTAATTGGTAGCTCTGTTTTCTTGCAGCTTTGCAACCTGTAAAAAAGCCCTCTACTGGTGCCCCTTTAAAGCTTTTCTGCTGTGAGCGTTTCCAGCAATAGCTTTCAAGTTCCCTTGGGCAAAATAAACAACTGTGAGGTTACCATGACAGCGTAATGTGTATGAAAGGCATAATCCAAAACTTACTCAAGTCGGTGAAAGACTCTCATTGCCTTGCCTGGACCCTGGACTAGAACCTGAGCCTTGATGGACTAGGTCAAGAGCAGCCAAGCAGTGGCACAGGTGTCACAAATAGGCAGCATCTGTGTGTGGTACATGGCACACTGAAGAGGGGACAGGTAGCACTGTGCAGATAGGGCAGGGAGCAGAAAGCTGAGCAACAGATCAGGCAGGGAGCACTGGTGAGGAAGCAAAAAGCTGAGCAGCAAATCAGGGGGATGGTGTGACACCTAGGGTGGGTATAAAGCTAATTTGTGGCATGCCTGCCAAAAATGTTGGCCCCCACTGGACTAGGTCAATAAATTAAGATTAGAAATTAATGCGTGCCTCCCTTGGAAGAGGAGCCTTTGTGAATGCCTAATTTGACATGAGGTGCAATCATGTCAGAAGTCAGTGTCCTCACAGACTGATGTGGAAACCAGTTGTCCAGGAAGTCAGTTGCTGCACCTCTTGTGCAGAGAAGATCAGCCAAAGGATAGTTTCCAATTCCCACTGAACCAGAGCCTCATTTCACGTGCTGTTGGGATAAGTTCAATGCAGCATGCTCTTAAAACATGAGGAGGGGACGTTGAAAAATCTCTGGTAACTAAAGATACTTCTGAACTCCCCTGAAGAGGTGTTGAAATGTCTTCTCTCAATCCTGTAACAATTCATAATAGAAAAACAATGGGAAAGGGAAGGAAATAGGCAGCAAACTGGAAGTAAAACAAGAAAATGGAAAGGAAATGTGAGAAATAAGGAAAAAGCAGATGGGGCCCACACCCATAGACTTTATTCCTGTTGGCTGTCTCCTTAAGGCCAGGAGGACTACTGATGTAAGTAGTAGCTGGATACATGGAGTCTCACAAGTTTTCACACCAGCTTTCTCAAAGAAAGCCAGTTAGTCCTGCTGCTGCATCTATGCAAGCCAACCACTGCACAGTTGCTAACTGCACAGTCATTTAGTAATTGCATAACCAAACACTAACTGACTGCACCATAACTGGTGTTACTGCACAGTAACATCCAGGCGTGGTTGCCTAGTGATGCTTACTGCACAGTAGCTTGTTACTACAGTGCAGTAGTGTTACATCACAGTTTGTGCCTGGTGAAGCTACTGCACCAGTGGGAGCAATACTAGACGTTGTACAGCTTCCAAATCTGTATGTCAGACTTTACAGCCCCTGTTGTAAAACCTTCTCCTTGGGTTCCCCTCTTGGTATCTCCCAAATAAATTCCCTCTGTCTTTTTAGCTGTGAGTGGAAGTCTGTCTTGTTCTAAAATGTAGTATTGTTAAACAGTTGGCACATCTCATCCTGATGATGATAGGATGAAGAGTGCAGTTTATTAACAGGAGAGAAAGGGAAAAGGGCCAATGGATCCCATTCAGAATCCACATGTGCCTCTCTCACCTCTGTTAGTAATCTTGATGCTGCTAGAAGTAATTATACAGCCTTAGTCAAAGGCAGCATTAGCTCCACAAGATGTTCTTTTCCTTTGTGTCCCAGATGAGGCATTCCCCGATATGCCAGAAAGTCTTCAGCAAGAAACGCAAGCCTTTCAATTCTTTGAAACAGAGACTGCAAGGAACTGAAATTACCACTGTGAAGAAGCAGCCACAACCAAAGGTATTCCTGAGATCATAGCTAAGGCATTACCTTCATTCTCATGAACATTGTCATTCACTCCAGGGACAAACATATGGTGTCTTGTGCATTACTCTGTCATGTTTTTCTCTTTGGAAATGCTGTGTCTTGTGCAGAGAAGATCAGCCAAAGGATAGTTTCCAATTCCCACTGAACCAGAGCCTCATTGCACGTGCTATTGGGAAAAATTCAATGCAGCATGCTCTTAAAACATGAGGGGATGTTGAAAAATCTCTGGTAACTAAAAATACTTCTGAACTCCCCTGAAGAGGTGTTGAAATGTCTTCTCTCAATCCTGTAACAATTCATAATAGAAAAACAATGGGAAAGGGAAGGAAATAGGCAGCAAACTGGAAGTAAAACAAGAAAATGGAAAGGAAATGTGAGAAATAAGGAAAAAGCAGATGGGGTCCAAACCCATAGATGGGTTTGTGTATCTATCTGCCTTCTTTCCTTCCTGTCTCCAACTTTACCACTTGTGCAACAGCAAGGCCCCTGCCACATGTTATTTTCTTTAAGCAATTAATCGCATCTTGTTGTGACCTGGCCATGCGTTCAATCAATTAATGGCATTATGAAATGAGGAATAAGCCACAAAGCTATTCCACAAAAAAATGTGAAATTACTTTGTGGCTGGTTCCTATCACACCATTAATTTGCCACATGTGCCTGGGAACCCCATAAGTTGATGGGATTTCCAGCTGCAGTAACACACTATATACCCCCAAGGCTGGGAGCCCACAGCTGATTGGGGCTCCCAGCTTCAGGGGCAAACATGTGGCATGGCAGGATGCATGACTGTATGGATTGTGGATTGACTGCCATTACACCTTTACCTGCACATCTGGCAGGGTCCTAAATATACTAGGTGTAGTGTATTGCTTCCAGTAATCTGAGGCCTTTCAAACTACTGAATCCAAAATCGTTCTCAGGTTTTTGTACAGACCAAGGCCTCTATTCTTATAGGAGACATTTCCTGTATGTATGTGTAATGTAAAATGTTATGCTAAAAGGAAAAGAATGTACAAGCTTCTGACAGACTCTCTACCAGAGTCTGCAAAAGGAAGTGTAACCTAAGTAGTGAAGTATAATGGTAAGATACCAGTATGGTGCAGAAATGCCCAAGGGTCAGCCCAACAGCCAACTGTAGTCTGGTTTAGAGACTTAAAGTGAAGCTATGAAGCAGAAGCAATAGTTATTTACTCATTTATGACGATGTAAGAAGAATGGCCAAATTGGCCTTCCCAAGCCTTGCTAAATGTGGTTTTGTTTGATTTTTTTTTTTTTAATAGTCCTCCTGCATCTTGAAATTCCATTTAAAGACTGAATATGCTTTCTCCGTGATAGCTTTTACGTCTCAGAATCTAGATACATTTGAGTTTGGATTTTCATACATATTTCTGTCTGTTACAGAATCAAGTGCAAAAGAAATCTAACTGGAGACAGCATCATGAGGACTTCATGAATGCTATTCAGTCAGCCAAGGAAGTCACAAAAGCCATGAAAGAGGGTCTCCCTCTTCCCCCACCACCCCCTCCAAGCATCAATCCAGGTCTGTGGTCTCATGTTGCATTGATAGTGTACTCCTGTTTACTGAATGAGTGTGCTCCTATTTTTTCATAGCTCTGCACAACTTTGCTCCGCTTAGCTCATTAACATTAATTATATGGTTCCTTTCTTGTGTAGTAAAGTTACTACACATTTTTTCAGGGGTACTTTACCCTGGATTCAGAGATTTAATCTGTAGTACAGCTGTAAATCATGCATCGCTTATCTCTTATCTTTTAATAAAGCCAATTTATTACATAGTAACCATGTCCTAAATCTGCCCCCACAGATGAATGGTGAGGGGGAAGATGTAACAAGACTAATCCTATCAATCAATTTGAAACACCTCAGTGTAGTAGTGGACAGAGTTCTGGGATGAGGGTCAGGATACCTGGACTCTCATACTGACTGCCATTAACTAACAAGGGTAGCATTTATTCTCCTGCCCTTAAAATTAGCTTATTGAGTTGTGCTCAGGCTTCCTGCTGACCTTCTGTGCTGGGGGAATCAAACTATCTGCATTCCCAGAGGTCAGTAAGAGAAGTGTAGGTGCTCAACATCCATTCTTCTTTCTGTTTCTATCTCTGCAAGAATGGGTAATTACTAGGGACCAACTTAATTCACGATTTCAGGGGTTGCACAGAAACTGCAAAATCCACAAAATGAAAAAAAGCAAAACCCTTAATAAAAATAAAATGCTGACTCTTCAGTGGGAATCAGCAATCCTTGCTGCTGGGAGGAGAAGGCACCAGGTGGTGGGGTGGCATGAAGGGACGCAGACAAGATGGTGGTTGTCCCCATATCCCTCCTTGCCCCGCTAGAGCCTCTCTACCAATTGGTGCAAAGGCTCAGGGCCACTGTGAATTGACTGCAGAATTAGAACTTTACCTTGTGGTCAACCTGTGAAAATTGTTAAGTCCCACAATGATTTAGGCAGATCCCTAGTAATTACACTCTGTAAAGTTGTGGGGAAGAGGGAACTATAGATAAAAAGCACTTATGTAAGCGCCAGTGACAATTACCATATTTACTCAAATCTAAGATAACCAAATTTAAGACAAGCCCCCAATAATTAGTTTCTATATACAGAAAATGTATAATTCTTTTAGAATTTTTTAGGTATAGAATCGAATTATTGGAGGGCTTGTCACCTTCAACACTGTTACAGCAGGGAAAACAGTGACTGGGGGGTTCA